CTGCTACTACTGCTACTGCCGCTGCTGCTGCTACTGCTGCTGCTTCGACTACTGCTTCTGCTAGTCTTAGTCTTAGTACTTACAATTATAACAATAAACAAGAGTAGTCAATCCGCCGAGGCCACAGGCCTCCGGCGTGTTGATGGTTAAACTCAGTACCCACCACCTAATCCTCCTCCCTGCATCCCAAAATTTACTGACATGCGTTTTTGGGGCACATTTTCGACCCTCCGCCCCTTGAGCTGCCCTAGTCCATTTTGGTGGCCAATTCCAGACAGTTTTCCTCGCTCCCCATGTGGTTCCTCCCTGCCCTGGTCTGCCGCCTCGCCCCCCTTCCCCTCGCTTGACCTGTCCTGTCCCTTGGTTCCAATCCATTTTGGCCAATTCCCTCTCCCCCCTCGCAACCCCCTCCCCCCGTGAGTTGCAACCTGGGCGTGTATCCCCTCGCAAGGCGTACAGGAACACAGGCACGCAAGTAAGTGTCTCGTGGTACAAGCGCACAGCTGTAGTCACAGTTTTGGTACTCTGCTATGCTACAACCATGATCACAGACATGGATACATGCAAGTGATACGTGACGACTGACGCATTCGGTACTTCACCCCTCGCCTCCCCTCCCCTCCCCTCCCCTCCCCTCCCCTCCCCTGCCCTGCCCTCCCTCCCACTCTTTCACTCACTCCTTCACTCATCACTCCTTCACTCATCATTTCTTCACTCATCACTCCTTCACTCATCACTCCTTCACTCATCACTCCTTCCTTCCTTCCTTCCTTCACTCACTCACTCACTCACTCACTCACTCACTCACTCACTCACCCACCCACCCACCCACCCACCCACCCACCCACTCACCACTCACCCCACTCACCCCACTCACCCCACTCACCCCACTCACCCCACTCACCCCACCCACCCACCCACCCACCCACCCACCGACCCATGTACTCATTCACTCACTCACTCACTCACTCCACTTCACTCACTCACTAATGCTCCACTCCACTCCACTCCACTCCACTCCACTCACGCACTCCACTCACGCACTCCACTCACACACTCACGCACTCACTCACTCACGCATTCCCTCCACTCACTCACTCTCTGCACTCACTCGCTCGCTCGCTCACTCATTCACTCACTCACTCACTCACTCGCTCCACGCCCGCACACACACACACTCTCTCAGACACTCGACTCATACCCGCATCATCACTCACATCACAGACACACACATGCACTCTCTCTCACATATCACACGCACGTCATCACTCACATCATTACACACAGACACACTCTCACCCCTGTCACCCTCCACTTTCAGGTGCCGTTTTCTTCCGTGCCGTTTTGTGTCTGACATGTGGTGTTATCCGGTCCAGTAATTGCGAAAGGCATGTGCAAGGTGCTGCATGCACTGTGACGACTTCGAGGAACTCCCCCCGGTCACCGGTGGACAAAAGTGTGGTCGCGCTCAGTGCTGTTCTGTTGTGTCACAGATGAGAAGGATCTTGACACTCGCATGTCAGCTAGTTGAGCATGTGAACAGCAAACATCATATCGAGAACGACATGCTTACTCCGTGCAGCATGACCTTGAAAAGAAAATGTTTTTGCAAAAATTCTGGCTCAAGGCTTTAAGCTAACGGTCAACGCGTTGACAGTGCTTTAAAGCCGGCCAGAAATACTTCTGAAAGAGTGAAGCCCAAAGCGTTTGATCAAGTATGCTTTTCACCTTGTCGATTCATACCGGGCTCGTTAGCTTCAGATAGAAAGCTTGAATCTCAATGTTCACCGCTGCAGCGAGTGCTCCAACACGTGGCAACACCTGCCTGTACAGTGCCTTTTCGTTTCTCGAGGCACTTAATGAAAAAACGCAGCCGTTTCCAACTCCCTGTGTCTTCCTACCACAGGCATACCATAGGCCGCTTTCAGAAAAAGCCATGTTCCTTCCACACATATTTCCGACCGGAGGCCTACCACCTTTTGATTTTTGTGCGTTTTAACCCGCGTGCAACGATTTCGTGTTGGAGAAGATGTTATTATTCATGTCTTCGCGGCTTTAGAGAGCGGGGGTTTTGGCCCAAGTAATGTCCTCAGTTTCGTGAAGACCGATGAATACCGATTTGCGGGAAGTTTTGGAAACTCCGCCCCAACATGACCGACTGCATAACGAACATGTCAGAATCTCATGTTTGCAGGGGTTGAATTTGTCGTCACGGAAAGCGTGGTAGTAGGATGCAGCATGCACATCAGATACTTACCAGCATGTGTTTTCAGTTGCTTACCTTCAGTTGCACGGCATTTGTCACAGCTTGGCTCAAAGAGTCGGATCGAGGTAGTTGGTTTGCCATGTTTCAAAGGTGCGTGGCATGGCTCAGCAGAAATAGCGGCTGTGGTTGTGTGTCGTCAGTCTTCAGTCATGTTCGCCCTGACGACATGCCATGACGGTCAGGCTCTCCATGTTTTCCTTCCTATGCACCCAATGTTGACGAAGGTTGGTGTCGTTTAGGTGTGGGGGTGTTTGGTCGGGGACCGGTTGCGCATGGTCTCCGCAAGCCATGGCAAAGAGACGGACTGCAGAAGCATCATGCCTGCATTGCAAACCCCAACAAGGCCCAGTTTTGGATTAAGCTCAGCCCAGGGCAAGTCATGGGACCCTAAAATCCTTGAGCAATCTCCGGTGAAGCCCACGGCCCAATTCGTCACGCGAAATGCTTTTGGCAACGCAGTTCAGCCGTCCAATGCGGCAGCCACTGCAAAGAACAGGACAAAGGGGGCTTCTACAGCTGACATTGCGCTAAGTTCGATCCGAAACGTAGGCATGCGGAACCGTCTAGTTTGAATTCGCACTCCAAGAGTTCCCATCATAGAGCTCGCGTTTTAAATCAGTATGAAGATTTGTTTGTTCCATATGACACAGACGAAATACTCCATTCTGAGAACAGCGAGCAGCTTGCATTTCCTTAATGTGTTCGCGGGCATGTCTTCTTGCTTGGGCTTGCAAGTTTGGTATCTCTTGGTGAGAGCCTGCTCAAGTCAAGTTGTGTGTCCCCGATGCTTGTCTATAGTCCTACAGAGTTTGCAGGTTGAAGCTTACATGCGAGTCGGTAGTTTTCAGTGCGTGGGAGAGCAATGGATAAGGCAATGTAAGGCAGGTTAAAGGGGTCAGAGAGTCTGCAGGTCAAAGCTTGCCAGGGTGTGGGGGTGCATTGAAGTTGACTTCTTTGTTCAAGGCTTAAGGGCTTCGGGCACCGCGGGGATGTAAGAAGATCAGAGCCAACTTCCGACTGCACAGCCAGGTACGGTAGCTCCAATGTCGGCCAGGAAGAAGAAAGTGCCGGGGCCCAAGCTGCCACATCTCTCTCAAAGTGTTCTACGTCCGTAGGTCCGAAGGCATCGTTGATCGTTGCACTGATGGCATAGCTATGCGCTGAGGTCCACCGGGCTGGGCGCCCTGCAATGGCAGCGGCAGCTCCCGCTCCTCAGACTCAGAGCTTCGCCGTCTTCAGCTTCAGATCGGGCCATCTTGAGTAAGGGCTGCAGCCAGGTGCTGACTTGCAGAAGCGTCTTGAGCAAAGCTCATTCCATCCCACTGCGTTGGCCCATGTTGGCCCCTAAAAACCTGAGTCCGAAACTGCAGGTTTTCGGCGAGCGCCCTGTTGTTGCTTGCGTCGCTCCCCATGGCGTCGGGGCCTTTGCCACGGTTTTTTTTTTTGTACCGGTCATCGTTCCGCCGTCAGCCTCGCGAGAGCCAGGCTGAGCTCCACTTTGTCCGGCATCACCCACGCGTCGGAATTCACCAATGCACTTTGGCCGCCCAGTTGAGCGGACGTTGCGGAGGGGTTCGCAGGGGTTCGCAGGGGTTCGAGGCCCGAGGCCAAACTTGAGGGGCCAAACAATCCATCCGAGCGCATGAAGAGCTGTGGAGCCAGGGCGTGCCGTACCAAGCGCCTCTTATCGAGCCACTCAACCGGCTCGGCGTGCAGGACAAGGGGATGCAGCAAAGCTTCCAAAAAACATCTGCGCCTTCCATAGCTATAGCAGAGCAATCGTTCCATCGTGTGGTTCCGGCAATGCTGTAGTAGAGGCCGAGCGATGGTCCGATCACAAAGAGTATTGTTGTAGTGGAGGTTGAACCCTGTGAGCCGTCAAGTGTAAAAAAGACCCTTGAGCCCGGAATGTTCAAGCCGCTGTGCGGACCTAGGATTCTCAAAGCTGGAGGCTGTGCGGCAAGCTCGACGCTCATTGCAGGAGGACACGGCTGCCAAGAACATGTCGCAGTTCGTCCACATTGGTTGCTTCATCGCGTGAGCCTCGGAGCAGCCCCCCCCGACCGAAGGACCGAACTTCTCAGGCACTCGCAGCAGCCCAAAAGAGCACAGTTTGCTGCTAGGCTTCCATGGGCATCACCCGGGACGCGGAGCAGGCCCCCAGCAGCTTGCCCCCGCCGGAAGTTACCCGTGTTATTTTTGGGTTTGAGGACAAGCCTCGAGTCGAAGAGCCACTTAGACTCCTTTCTTCCGCCTTCGGGCTGACATGACCCCTCTGCAGAGGACACGCACTTCGACCCGAGCGCCTGCGTGGATGCAGCAGCTTCAGACAGCTTCAGGGTCTGGAAGTGCAGTCCACCCCTTTTGCACCACGAGTTCGGTGGTCTTCTCCGGAGGCTCGCTTGTCAGGAGAGCTCAACTGCCGGGATCGTCGCGCTGATTTCGGGTTTCGGGTCATGAAGTGGGCATGGGGACTCCAGCCATCCTGCTGCCGGCTTTGTCGGTTTCGCCATTTTGCTTCCCAGGTCTGTCGGAGTCGCTACCCCAATGCAGCCCTCAAGGCTTCGCCGGAAGGGCTGTTGACACCACTGCTGCCCGTGAGCGTAGACTTGGGATTTCAGTTTGCTGGTCGGCATCAGAGAATACATGTGTGGCCCAGGAGCTGTTGTCAAGTGATGTAGGCAGCTCGGACCCCAAAACCCAGTCGCTCCAGCGAACACACCTGTGCAGACGTCTGTGATTTTGCAGGACATCGCGGTAGCTGTGCACGGTCCGCGGTGTGGCTGCGCACTAGGAGCTCTTTACGATGCCAGGGTCTCGATGGTCTTTGCTAAGACAGTTAATCGTCGGACGCAGAAGCAGCATCTGTTGAGAACCGTCTGCGCTCGTCCTCGGACCTATAGAGCCCGAAGCCGCTGCCGAGACCTTCACCGAAGCTGACCCCAGCTTCTGTACGATGCAGTGCAAGTTTTTCGAGAACCCCATTTGCGGGGGCTTGCCCTCCTTTTGGGGAGCCCGGCACCCAGTTCAATGGATCTGCAGGGCTTCGCGCAATGTTCGGGGTTCCTGATTTGTCAGTCAACTCGGAGGGTCTTTCCGCAGATGAGCGCTTCCAAATTTCGCTCTGCGCTGCCCTTGTCACTCCTGGAGAGGCCGAGCTCTTCCCTGCCACGTTTGTCACCAAGGTTTTCGTTCAGTATGACTTTCAATCCTACGCCTCCCATGGGGCCTACGACCCATGGCGGAAGATTTGGTGACCTGGCAGAGGAAGTGTGAGTTCTGCTAGGTCTGCTAAGTGGTTTACTGGTCCGGATCATGTTCATGGACGCAGAGTATCAGGTTTCCACTCCAGTGTTGAACATAGACCGTATCGCTCCGACGCATTGGACGTCTGCTCGCTGTCCAATGCGCGAGCATGGGCCTTCCTCTTCATTTTACTCTACGGCCACTATTTGGTATTTGGGTAGGTAAACCGGCAAGAGCATGTCTGGGATGCATGGCAGACATGCTGTGAGTTCACTTTGAACAAAGGTGTAACACTTTTGCACACTGTGGAGAGAGCTTCGGGAATGAAGCCCTGTCCAGTCTCGACATGGCTCACTCACCCAAGGACTGGATAGTCTCCTTGCCTTCAGACGCAACACAATCGCGCCGAGTCCCTGCACTCAGGTACTCGATCGTCGCTGTGCGCGAAGCCACGATCATCGGGGATGAGGCTGTGGCATCGTAAGAAACCCAAAGCCTGTTCTCACGAGTCTGTTCCACTCCTTGTCCCCGTCGTCCCCCGTCCTGGCTTTCCGGCCAGGGCCAAGGGAGGCCCAATCAGGATCCAGTGTGTGAGGTTCAGCAGCACATGCAGCAGCATCTCTGTGTCTTCTACATTCTTTACAGTTTCAGGCTGAACTGGTAATGTGGTGCACCCCGGTTCAGCACCTCGTGGCCAAGCACGGTTGAACGACATTACATAGTGGAGATATTGGGGAGAGATACAGGGTCGAATTGGGTCAGATCCTGTGAGTGTGGCAGGTGTGACACAAGTTGTGCTTTCCATTCATCAACAGTTTTTTCTCGCCTCGCACGCACCCCTGAGCCCCAGAGCATTTTAGATCATACCTTGTTGACCGCACCTGTTTGAAAGGCCTGGAATCCAGACAACCAGCACCCAGCTTAGTTTCCATGAGTCGCGATTTTAGACAGGGCCTTTTCGTGGATCTGAGTATGTTGCGGATTCCGGAATTTCGCTCACCACCAGTCCATTTTGATGTACCGCCACGCTTGAAGTCGTCTTGATTCGGAGTGTGGGCAGAGGCTCAGCTGCAACCTTGGAATCGAGTTGCCCAGTGCTTCCCAACATGATGCCTGCGCCCAGACCGCACAGCCTTGAAAGAAAACATGTACACCGGCGGTCCCAAACCAAACGACAAAGCGAGAACGGCAGAACGCAGCACCCAGAAGAGTCCCGCCATCACCGGGGGCCCTCGGCACTTCCAGGTTGGATCCGGAGCGCTACTACCTTCACGCCGCATCGGTCCAGACGGGCCAAGCAGCGCGAGGGCCTTGCAGCTTTTACTTGGACTTTGCGACTGTCCAGCTGTTTTTGCTCCGCCTTCGTGGGGCTTTTCAGTGTCTTGCTCAGCCAACAGCGGAAGATTCTTGAATGGGCGAGCGAGCGGGAGAGACAGAGACACTGGGATTCTTGGGTGCAGGAGTGGGATTTTCAAGCACCTTGTTTGGTTCATGGAGCGTATGGAGTTTAAGCATCGGATCTGTAGCTGTAACGCTTCAGAATATCCAACAAGACCGCGACCTTCGCGGTGATGCTTGTTTCTGCAGCCGATGCCTGCCTCAGCAAGCTTGATGGAAGCTCATATAGGAAACAAGCCATGGAGCATTGCTATCGACAGCCCTGCTTCAAAGCTCGAAGCGTACTGCTTGGAGCTGTAAATCTGACAGTAAACACCTTTGTCAATGAGCTTCTTAAGACCCGTCTGGCTTTGGCCTCAGTTCTTGCCGAGTAGAGGAGAGTGTCAGCAAGATTTTATCGAGTCTCGAGCCCGGCTCCACAGTAACTCCAGAGTTTTTCACGCCAGCGCGCTGCCATGCCTTTCGGCAGCATCCGCTGCGTCGTCTTCGACTTGGATGACACGCTGTGGAACACTGCCGCTGGGCCTCTGAAGACAAGATGTCTCCGGGAGCCGTCAGGCGCTTTAGATGCGGGTTGACGCTGATTTCAATCTCTGCTGTCCAATTCCAGAAAAGTCTTGAATCCCTGAGCCTAAGTTTAGGGTTTATTAGGGTTTTAGGGTCGAAGCTGTTCGCTCCCTTCTTTCAGGTCCACACCCTGGAGAAGGCCCAGGAGGCCACGGGGCAGTTTCGAGGTTCCAGGAGGCCTCGAAGCTTTTTCCTGGCTTTGCTGTGCCGAGCCGGAGGTCATGAGCGAGGCGCTGTCGGCGAAGCGCCCGGAGCTGCAGACGGATGCCTTGACCTTCAAGGAGGCCAGACAACAAACGCTACGCGTCTCAAACTTCTGGGATTGGGATTGCTCTAGAGTTCAGAGCTCGGCAATCAAGAGTTGAGAAACTTGGAACAGGGCTTGTGCGAGCAAACGCTTTGTCTCAACCATGTGATGGCCTTTCGTCGGAGAGGCTTTGTGAGCCTTTTGTAGGTGTGCGTTTCGTGGCTGCTCGGATGCAGGAGATGCGGAGGGTGCAAGAAGAACACCCGGAGAATCTTGGACAAAGCTGCGGGCAGGCTGAAGACTGAACCTATCCATTTTCTTTCGTCTTGGGCCACGGGCTTCTGCATGTCAAGGTGCAGCAGGTTGTTGCTTTTCTTGTTGGCGAGCACTCTTGAGTGTAGCAAGGCATTCGATAGATCCCGTACGCGACTGGGAGGATTGAATTCTGGAGAGGAGGCAGGCAAATGCCGTGACTCGAATTCCGAATGTTAACGTAGTGACGCAGACTCGATTTAGACTGGTAGACCATAGCTAGTCAGCTAATCATCGAGATCCGTCGGTTCTGGCGTGCATCAGGAAGAGGCATGACTTTACCTTCTGCCGTCACGAAGTCCTGCGGAAGCTGACAGGCATCATGCAGGCTTTGCTTGTCTGGAGGAGATTAAGTCGTCGCTTAGTAAGGTGTTTACTCATGAGACGGCATAAACGGTTTGCAGTGCACAGCAGGAACTGGGGTGTGAGGAAACGGAAGACATGGGCTTTGCAAAGCCTAGATTGAAGGTGAGCGAGCCTCCTTCGCCCGTTTTGGAGCAAGACCCCTGGGTCCGCTCGCGTGTCAGGCGATGATCAGCTGGCGCAAGAAGTTTTCCAAATCTGGCACCGTCAGAGGTGGGCAAAGCAGTTCGCAGGGCTGGCTGTGGAAGCAACCTTACAAGGGATGCTAAAGCGACTGTTGCAGATTGTGTCGAATTGAGTTCCATGCGCATCGATTCGAGACTCATCATCATACCTGAGCCCCTCTTCCAGTCCGGATTTTGGCAGGAACAGCCCAACACTGTTCCCTGGTGCTCTTGATGCAATCCGTTCGCTGAAGTCCAAGGCAGGGGGGAAGTTGCCAGTCGAGAGTCGAGACAAGACGCCAACTCTACTCATCCAGTACAAGAGGCCGACTAGTTCGACGCATTCCGGTCCAGTCTAAGGCGCTGATAGAGAGACTGCTAGTTAGCAGCCTGGCCTGAAGGGCGTTTCCATTGGCACGCTGACGGATGGCAATGCCAATCCCTTCACAATCGATGGCCTGCCGCTTGTCTAAGCTTCTGATCTTCGATGCCCTAGCCAGTCAGCGAAACCCTGAAACCCACAATTGTGTTTCTTTCTCGAGCTCGACGTCGAATCTCTCAAGCGCCGCGGCGCCACCTGAAAGTAGACGTCTCAGCCGGCATCAAGCCCCGAAGCCCTTAGGAAGGACGTCATCGATTTTGCCGTGAACGCCGTCGAGGCGCCAAAGAGAGCTGCTCTCTCGAGGCAGACTGTGCTGTGGCGCCCAGGCGGGTGCTCCGAAGCCGGATCGGCGCATGTTTGCGATGCTTGACTGCACACGAAGGGAGGAGGGTTTTGGGAACGGGGAGGATTCAGGGGGCCGGGGCCCGCCCGAGCGGTTTGCCTTGTGTATGCTTCTCTGCTTCTCCTGCATTTGCTCTTATCCTCTGCTCGCTGTGCATTGAGAGGCTCTGCGAGAGCAAAGCCGGCCTGGGCCCGGAAGCCATGGCCGGGGGCCCGGTCACGTCGTGTTTTTCGGCTCAGCTTCTGCGGGCTTGGATGGCACTTTCCAGAATCTCGCAGAGTTTCTAGCCTTTCGAAGCAGTTCTCACAGTTCGTCTAGTTCTTCCAACTTTTCGCTTGCTGCTACGATGGGTATTGTAACTGCTGTGTATCCTCGTGTCCCCTTGTAAAAGTCTTTCGTCTGACAACCGGAAAAGGAGACCCCAGCCATAGCAGCAAGGAAACGGTGAGGCATACAAACTAGCTGACTAGCTGATCCTAGTCTGCTGCGCCGTAGGGGTGTCTGGACGAGACAGCTGTTAGCAGTGTTACCGTTGGTGGCCAGAGACGAGTCGCGATGGGGCAAGTTCGTGCGGGCAGCACATGTTGGAAGAAGAGGCGGAGCCCTGCTATGTGTCAAACACAGACGGGGGGAGACGACGTGTCAACTTGTGGGCGCCTTCTCACTGCCGCGCGAATCAGAGTCTGCCTTTTCTGATTGTCATAGTCATTCTCAAGGGGATGTGCTGCCTCGATTGTACAAGACGGCCACCTCCCACAAATTGACAAACAAGAAGACCCGATATCAATCGATATCGCTGTGTGGCTGTGGAGTTTCGATACAGAGGCAGCCCCTGGGTGTGGAGCGAGAGAGCTCGCGAAAGGGGCCACAACTTCCTGCCTCTGTGGCATGCCAGAAAGGTTTCAAGGATAATGAGGAGAAGGAGCCCGATCAGGACATCTTTGCCATCACATCCTTCAGCAGCGGCTGTACTCTTGCTATTGTTTGTCAGGGGCATGTAGTCTCCTCCGCGCACTGAAGACGGTTCGTTGCGGTTGTTGCCGATGGGGTATGGGATGTCATGAACGCGAACTTGGCGGCCACTGCCGCCCCAGCTGGCAATTTTCAAGCATGCACCTAGTTGCCGGTGAAGGTTCTTAGGAGGTCACGGCTTCGGATTCGGGCTCCGACGGCTCCGCCAGGTTATGGTCGGCGACAATCCGGCCAAGGACGTGGAGGGAGCTCTGGATGCAGGCTGCGGGGCAGTTTTGAGGTCGGGCCCGGTGCAGGGGAGCTGATGCCCTGAAACTCACGACCTTCGTCAATCCCTGAACGCAGGCATGTCCTTCCCCCTCCGCTCTTTCCTTTTTTGCTGCTGCCGGTCGCGCAGTGCGCAAAACGTCGCATCAAAAGCAAGGGATCCCGGATCCCCGAAACCATACAGCCCCCAAACGCCCAAACCGAATCCTCTCCCGCCGTCGTCGCAAGCTGAGAGGTTGGCGGGCCATTTGGGTCAGGCCACCGGAACCGTCACCTGGCTGCAATCGAGGTATTCTAGCGGCTTCGAAAAGCAGTTGAGGCCAGGCCTGGTGTTTTCGAGGAGCTTCCGCGAGCGCGAAAGGGAGTTTTGTTGATGCAGGAAGCACGGGAAATTGCGGCAGTGGCAGCACTGCGTTGATGGATTCCAGGTCCATTCTGCGCAGTGCCTTCGACGTGGACGCCGGCGGCTCTGGCCCGGCTCTGCGGCGAGCACATGCGGATGTGGACCACGTGTCTGAGGCGGAGAGCGGAGGGTAAATCCATGATTCTTCTGAGCGCACAAGTGGGAGGCGAGCCCCCGGCCCCCCATGCCCCCCAAAATGATGCGGCCCCTCTGGCCAGGTCGAGGCCTGCCTGACTTCTTGGGCATAGGCAGGAGCGCTGCTTTTGAACAGTGTCGCTTATCATGAATGTTGCCGAGCTCGTGTCGCGGTCCTGCAGCTGCTGTTTGTATTCGTGATGCGGAAGGGCCTGTCCAGCCGTTGGTCGGAAAGTGCTTTCTTCAAGACTTCAAGACACCCCTCTACTGTGACAGGCATGCAGCTTGCCAAAGATGCAACCGAGATGAAAGTGCCGACAAAAGAGATCCGATGCAATGGTATCACGGTGCGTGGGTCGTGTTGGGGATCTGAGCAGCACCATCGGAATCCAAAACTCTCCCTTTGGCCACGCGTCAAAGCATCGAGAGACCTCGGCCAAGCTTCCATGCTGCTTTTCGAGGAACTCAGCACAAGGTCCAACTGCCAAGAGCATTTTCCACGTGCCCTCGGGATTCAAAAAACAAACACAGAAATTTTGGGAAACTCTGGACTCTGGAAAGACCCTGCCTGCCCTTTGCCTTAGGTTTCCATTCCAGTCGCGGCTGCCGGGCATCGTCCACGGCCTGGGGGGGGGAAGTCTGTGTGGCATTTGTGTTTTGGTTGTCGTGGTTTCGGATGGGGGAATCCGGCTGTCTTAGAAGGAGTTTTGGAGTTGGAGGACGTCTGCTTTTGCTTGTGAGAGTTCTGCGCCGGAGGACAGGCGAGGCAAGAAGACGTGCGAGCAACTTCGCAATCCATTCTTCCGAGCCATCTGTACCACCTATATAAACCCATCTAAACCCTAAACCCTTAAGATCCATCGGAAGGCATTCAGTACGACTTAGACTCGGGCCGCCTCGTGGGCGTCCTGACTTCGGCCTCTACGGCTCGCGTCCGGATGCTGAGGCCGTGGGTGTGCGGCCGGCGCTGTTGTACTTTGAGCCGTGCTTCAGGTTTTCAGCAGATTTTGCTTGAGGATGTGGCAAATTTCTGCCACAGAAGGAGACAGATGTAACGATGAAGTGTCAAGAGCCCCCCAAAAAAACGGTGCGCATGGAGGATCATGTGTTATCCAATGTCGTTCCTTGGATGGAAAGGACGCGGAAATGGGGTTGAGTCAGCGAAGAGGTGGTTCATGTGAGACTGCGATAGGATTTTGGGATTGCTGTGGCCCGTGCTCCTGGCAGCATGAAGCTTCCGAACAAGCCCGATCCAAGAAGCCCGAAGCTGTGGAAAGTGCCACCCCCTAACCAATTCTCGGCTCGCCAGGTACTACTTGTGGACAGCGTTTATCAATACAATCAACATCACCCACCCAAAGATCGAGTTTGACGAGGTGGGCAGGGTCTACTTCTCCGTAATTCACCCACGCTTTCCTCCTAGGGTCAAGGGGGAGAAGGAAAGGAACCGATGACGCGAGGAGAAGCGCCGGCGGAAGCGAGAAGAGGACGAAGAGGAGGAACGTATACGTCGTCTCCTTGAGGAGAAGGAGCAAGCCGAACGTGCTCGGCGCAAGGAGAGGGAGAAGGAGCAGCGCCAAAGGAAGGAGGAGGAGCGGCACAAGCACGAGGAGAAGATGCAGCGGAAGTTGGAGCCCGCACTAGGACAGGAAGCCAGCCGCTCAAAGAGCCCCGCGGTAGGAGCTCAAAACCTTTAGAAGCGAAAGAAAGGGAAGGGAAATGAAGATAGAGAAAGGCTGAGACAGGGAAAAGAGTAAGGCAGAAGAAGGGGAAGGCAGAGAGATTGCTTGTGTAGCATTTCATGCTTGTGAAGCTGTTTGTGCATCAGTATGGCCTTGCCGAGCGACTCTTGCTTCGAGACCTCGTTAGACTTTCCGAGCGGCTACGGCATGAACGAGGGACTGAGGGACGTCCCATGCGAAAGCCAAGCTGTTAGGGAGCTAGTTGCGGTCACGGCGCAGAGCGCTGTACAAGGCAACAGGGACATGTCGGGAGCAAAGGGCATCCTGCTCTCATTGCAGAACCATCAGGCTGCGAAGTCTGCGCGATGCCAGAATACTTTCATCGAACAAAATGGGAAGATCATGTTACAAATGCAGACTCTCGACGGCTTGAGAGAGGAGATCACCCAGCTGGAGCAGAGGAGGCTCCTGGCGCTCCTGAGCCACTTCCAGGCCTCCACATCGAAGTAGCGCCTGCATGGGCTCCAGGCGGCTCGAGCTCGCGGTGTTGGGGGTGATCCGCACCTGCGCAACCTGCGCCTGGCTTGCCTACTTGATGTGCAACGCAGTGGAAAAGCTCACGGCGTCACGGCCTCCGCGCGCACAGAAGTGTTTCGGCGACCTGTCACCTGCCGACTCAGAGCACATCGACAAGATCATCGAGAATATCAAAAGTCAGCCAGGAGAAGCAGCTCGAGCTCATCCGTGCCAAGTGGCCGAAGCTCGGACTACCTGGGGCCTCCAAGCGGAAGAGCTGCGCTTTTTTCGCGGGAGGGCGGGGGTTTGTCTCCGGAGAGATGTAGCTTTTCTGCGTAGCGCGTGGAACATCGCATCCACAACCTGATGTATCGCTACAGGGCAGCACGAGGTTATCAAGGAGATCTACAGGCCCTCCCGTTCTTGCAGGCACTCCTCGATCGAGGAGTCCCAGGACATGTCCAACGAAGATTTCCCGAAAGCCTACAACAAAGGTTTTCGACGACGAGCAGCCAGTGAATCCAAGTTATGAGTAAACAGACGAGGCTGCAGAAACCGAGTGAAGCCTCATGCACAGAATGCTGTCTGTAAGTACTCCAACGGTACAAGGGTTCTCATGCTGTCACAAGACTTCGAAAGTGGAAGCAAAAGAAGCTGATTCCGCATTTTTCAGATTTCTTGATTGCTGTGCCGTATGCTGCAATTTTAGCCGGGATTCTCCAGCCTTCAGTCCCAGGCTTGCCCGGTTTGCAGCACCAATCGTCGGTTAAGTCTTGCGGGCTGCTGGTCAGGAGTTGCCCATCCTCAACTTTGGAGAGCAGATGTCGGAGCAGCCCCTCGTCTTGCGTTTTCAGCAAAAACCCGTGGCTAGCCTGCTGGAGCCCCTCAGCCCCCTTTCCTCTTTTTCATCATCACTAGCAACCGCGCGAGCGTTGGCAGTCCTCCTGTGCACTTGTAAGGGATTCCCACGCTTTTGCAGCTTGTTCCAAGTCCCCGATGTGGAGAAATTCTGGGTTGTGGGTTGACGCTCGCGTCAGGATGCAGAACACTTCCCAGAGTTCGGAGGTTCAATTGTCACGGCTGCAAAGCTTTTGCTGCCTTACTTACCATCATACTTTTGATTATACGTCCCAATATGTGGTGAAGCTTCTCTCTCCAGGTGACACAACAATCAAGTACCTCTTGAAGCACATCTCAGAATTATTTCAACATAGACTTCTCTTCAGTTTTCCTTACGACAATGTCTAGTCACTAGTAACGTGAAGTAGTTTAAGCTTTTGTAAAGAAAGTACACATTACCATTGTCTGTTTTGTATATTCTGATTAGAACTCAGATGAGCACATAGACTGGGGGCCCGTTCCCGGGGGCTCGACGGCCATGCCTGAAAAGACGAAGAAGAAAGAAGATGTTCCAGCTAGGAGCAGCATAGTCCGAACCAAGAAGTAGGATCAGCATGGAAGGATCGCAGACGGCGGTTAGCGGGTATCTCGTGGAGTCCCATGAGCCCAAAAAGCGAAAACAGTGTGGTTGAAGCCCAGGTTTATGGCATGGACGACGAACTCGGCGATCTTCTCTAGGAATGGCCAGGGCTGCAGAGTGAAGTATCGTATTTCAGATTACGTCGTGGATTTTGTTCGATTTCCTCTTGTCATGGTCCCGGATGCTCCGCAATGTTTTGCCAGCCCAGAGCATCTCAAGGCCAAATTTGAAGTGCCAAGCTGTGAAGCTTCAGCTGCTGACAAGCCAAACCCTGCCAAAAGGTTTTGAGCAACTTGGTTTTCCTTGAGACTTCGAAGTTTTTCTGATTGAGGCCAGGACGTCTTCGTCTTTTGCCAAGCGGAGCCTGCCGGATTGCTGAAGAATACCAAGTGCGTCACCCAGTCATCTTCAGCGCTGGGTTTGGGTTGGGCTTCTGCTCTGGCTTCCGGCTTGGAAGGTGCCTCTCAAAACCGATAACTGTTCCCACATCCCAAACCTCTGCCCTTCCACAGAGGTCTCGGGTATACTTCATCAGCATCCCGGACGCCGTGATCATCGAGGCTCGGCCTCCCCACGAAGCCCGGAGAGCCCTCTCTTTTGGAGGACGAGAGCCCCTGTTGGGAAGCGCCCAATGTCTGAAGCCCTGGCCCAAGGCTCAGGGCCTTGACTTCACCGTGCTGCAGCTGATGGCCGGGCGCGTAGCTGAAAAATGCGCGCGATTTGTAAATTCCCCGGCTTCCTACAAGAAGGGCTTCATGGCTTTATCTTCGGGGCGTTGGGTGAGAGGGCCCTTTGCTCTGCAATGCTCGCGAATCTACTTGCGGCTAGTTGAAAGCATTGCCAGGGTCAGGGGGACAGTTTTTGTCGAGGTATCTTGTGCGGGGAAATGCCAGCAATATGCCTCACACAGGACCTGGAAGGATGAATGCTTTGGACGTTGCTGCAGAGCATATGAAACATTGGCTTCCTTTGATCTGCGCCGTCTCCAGGTTAATGAGAAGCATCGAGACGTCATCGCGGTTGGCCATCGGTCCGGCAACATGATGATCGCCGTTACCTCGGCTTTGCAGCGGGGCAGGTATGCTTTGTTCCACAGGCTTCGAGCTCGTCTTGCGTGCATGTCTGCTTGAGTTCAATACGAAGCCTGCTGAGCATGCGGTTGTAGCGGATGTTGGTGTGATTATTTCTTCTGGTGCTTCCCCTTATCTCCTTCGTCCCAGTTTCGAGATGTTTCGTAGTGCGACATGAGTTGGCTTCCCTCTTGGCTCCGCTCCACATCCGAACAAACTTGAATTCAATATCTCTTCGCCTTTCTTATCCTCTTGGCGTCAGAGCTCCTGGCCAGGTGACTTTGTTTATCAAATCATGACTTGGCTGAAGGCTGTGGAATTCGAGCGAACTCAGATCCGAATAGAAAGTCGGTACACCTAAATCACTGTCGAGGATCCTTTCTTCTCAGAGACAGAGCCGCCTTTTGCACATCAAAGTATTATCAACACCGATGGCGACGATGCGGACATCAGACGACAACAAGACCATAGAGACAAAGCCCGCAAGTCAAACCCTATCTGCTGTCAGGTCATGATCGCAAGGATCTACTTCAACACGCTCGAGGAGGGACGGGATGCGATCAGTCTGGGGGGCAGTTCGCGAAGGTTTCTGGCAAGTTCCAGCAGGACAATCCAATGTGCTCCCTTTCCCGTTCGGGGGTTTGCATGACTGCCGACTTGGCACACATTGAGACCCCAGCACCACGGAGCACCACGCCAGCAAGCTCCAGTGTGTAAAGCGGACACGATGTTGCAGAACGCCAAGCGAGTGGAATGGCTCTACACGCCGGCGCTGTCCGGGTCCAAGATGGACTTGAGCTTTGGATGTCAGAGAGTCGCCGCGAACCCTTCAGTGAGGCCCCAGCGATTGGTGCCGACGGAGGTGTCCAGGGCCTTGCATTCGGCGTTCGGGTGATTCCGTTTGGTTCTCGGCTTTATTTCGGACAGACCTTGACCTTTGCATGAGGTCCGCGAGCGAAGTTGACTCCAGGTTAAAGGGGATATCAGGACTAGGAGAGGCTCTGTCACTGCACCTTTTCGCAAAACAGCGTCATTCGGACGAGTTTTTCGGGAGGCTTTTTGGTTCCTTTTCCAGATGTGTACTCCGGGCCCAGAAGCCTCGGGAGGACTTCGGGGACCTCTTCCTGACGCCCGGCTTGGCTGGCGACCCGTGGGCCTTGGGATTCGTGCAGGTTCTGTCGTAGGCGTGCTGTGGGGAACTCCTGTGACAGGCTTCAGCTTGTTACGCCAAGTTTCTTTGCTTTCTGCAGCAACCCTAAAAGAGTCCGACATTTCCAGCTTTTCTGCTGCCCTTTCTGCAACCTGGATGCGGCTGTGCCCGATTAAACCCAATAAGAGTGCAGTTGAACTCAACCGAGGCCGTCAGCGAGCATCTTTTCAACAAGAGCTTCATCATGGTCAGGCTTCAGAAAGTGTAGTCACGCTTTTCCAGGTTCTCTTTTGCAAGCGGCGTCCTGAGCAGTAGCCTTGGCTCCCAATGTCGGAACTCAGTCCGCAGGGTTGAGGCTGGAGGAGTCCTTGAGATATCTTTTGCACAACGGAGGCCCTCTACGACCTTCCATTGTCTAAGTCGTGTGCGGCCGCACCGCATGCTGCAGTTCGACTTATACGCATATGTTTGACATGCAGAGTTTGGCACATCGTTTGCTGCTTGTCTGCAGCTGCAAAGCGGTGGAGTCCTTCAGAGGCTTCGGAAGCAGTCCTCCTGCGCCTTGGAAGGAAGTACCCGGTCGACTGGCTGGAACCCCGAGAGCCCGAGTTGTATCCACCTATTCTCATGGAGGCCGCGTGCAGTGAGAGCGCTTCGGATTTTGGCAGAACGTTGCAGCTTTCCCAAGCCTGGATCTATCGGGATGTGTTGGGCAGGCAAGCAGTTTTCAATGACGCTAAGCTTCAGCCGCTAGAGGCTTGAACGACCAGACTGGGCAGCATGTCAGTTCAATTCAGATGCATTGTCGATGATGTAGCAGCTCTCAAGCAGCTGTGGTGCGCAGATCAACATCCGCGAGCCTATTTACTTCGCACCGCCGGCATGCTTGTCAAGTGACTGCTCAGAACCGCAATCACGGCCTTGACGTGGTGCCTGCCGCAGAGATGCTCATGAAGGGGGTTCTTGGTTGTGAGCAGTTGTGGATGTTTGGGTTTCCGGTGCGGGTTTGGATCACGTGCAGCGGACAGAACGTACAGGAATTGAATGCCGAGAGTGAAGCCGCATATATCTGCATTGGCATGATCAAACGAGCACACCTCTCCCAGAATGCCGCAGTGCCAGGACTGGTGCCCAGCAGAATGCCAGGGCACCGTGACCTACAAGTCTCCCTACACGCGACTCGGCTCTTGGGTCTGTCGGCGAGGCTCTCCGAGCACGCAGCTTTGCTATGCCAAGGCCCATCTTCAACAAGGAGAAGTGTGGGACTTTGAAGCCATGGTGGAGGGTCTCGTCCACATGGCACACGGCTCATGACGAAGTGCCATGCATTCCCAGACCCGTGTGTACTCCAGACTGTGGTTTGACAACAACTCGTGTGAGACACTGGAGCTTTGTGTCTCCATCCGGACAGCAGGAGCCGCGAATTCCGCTGTCGCTCGCAGCGCCTGCGCTGGTGTACGCCCGCTTCAGTATGGAGGTGCTTGGATTGCTCCGCAAGCCTTGTCAGAAGAGAGTGGTGAAAGTTCAAAGGCCTGAAGCCCGAGCTTCTGTGTTTATGGTTTGAGTTGACAGGCAGTAACCATTGACGTGAAGTTCGACCGGGCGACCTTGCGTGGTGCCTTGCCGTTGGACACGACCAACGACATCGTGTGCCTGGGCTTGCAACCACCCGCAACCCCAAGCATGAAAACATCTCACAGAGCGTTGGGGTTGCAGAAGATTTCGTGCATCTTGTTTCTGCGAGAGAATGAAAGATGTCTGAACACGAATAAGCAAAAATAATACAAGCTCGGCTCCGCAGCCACTCCGCATTCCAGAGGCCCGACATCATCGACTACACCACGCAGCTCACAGGCGATGCCTGGGACTGTGCGAACACCTTCGATGAGGCCCCCCCCCACATGCAGATGGGAAACCTTCCTCCGCGACATCGACACGTTGGATCATCACCTCCATCCTGCTCGTAGCTTGAGTGAGTCGTGATCCCACCTTCCTTGCTTTGAGACTGCAGATTTGTGGTTCGAGCACAGGACACGGTGATTCTGCTGGGCCCCTTCCCGGAGACGTCCTGCAAATGGGCCGTGGTCCCAGGTATTTGGAGATTCCGCAGAAGGTCTTGGGCTTCAGGGCATGGGAGTTTGAGTTCATGCTTCCAGCGAGGGTTCTGGGTCGATGTGCCAATTGAGATCGAAGTTTACGATCGTAGCACGGAGACTCTAGCGCAAGCTTGCCACAGGGTTGGTGTTCCTCAGTGTGTGAGAGAGACACAACGGATGAGCCGCAACATTTTCTTCCGTGAAGATTCAGATCCCGATCACTCACATTCTTTTTCTCGGTTTGTGTGGCCTTGGAGAGACGCAGACCCTCCCTGCCCCAGTCTCAGAATCAAGACGAGGTCGTTGCGCTGCAGTGGGGCTTGTGTGTGCAGATTCGGGAGGAAGTCGCAGGGCCATCAACCTTTTCTGGCGGCTTTTGTGAGGCCGCCGATGACTTGATCCAGATTTCGTTGCCGCGGCTCTTCGACATTCAGGTGCCGTGCCGTCTGTGCCGTGCGCCGTCGGTGCTTGGAGCGTGGAGGGCCAGTGGAGCCGCGCAGGTTGGGGACCAGATCTTTCTGCAGGCGGACACGATCTACACAATCCCGCGGCCACAGGCCAGGGCCAGACCGGTGAGGTTTCTCTCTGCTCCGGAGACCCCTTTGAAGGACAACGAGTACTCCATGGCGGCGCAAGGCGGCATCGCAATCTCCCTGCTCGGAGCCCTGCCGCCTCCAGTTTCGCTGTCATGCAGTCATGGAAGATTTGCATTTTGGGACTGGTGTTTTCTTGGGTCGCAGATCGCAGTTGTCCTAGATTCCTGGAGTCCTTCTGATCCCCAAAGTCCGAGCTCGAAACATTGAAGACGGCAGCTATCAGCCCACTCTCTCTTAGTCCCGCACCACTCCAGGCCGGATCCCTTGGAGGAGCCTGTGGTGATTATCACGGGGACGACTGAGGCGGGGAATGGAATGGACAGAATGGGGACCTTCTTTTGGTTGTGTGATGGGATTTCCCCCATTCCCGCACTCGCAGCGCGTCGCAGATCGACGAGTGCAGCCCGCTTCAGCTGTCTGCCAGCGACAGCTACTTCTTGGGTGGGCAGGCCACATACAGGCCCCCTTGTTTTGCGTGTCTCCCGAAGAGCGCTGCGGCGCTGCTAAAGTCCCCCCAAAGAGCACAGGTGGGAGCTGCTCTCCTACCGAGATCTCACCAACAACCCGGCCGGACGAATCTTCAATCGTGCGGCCGGCCAGTTGCAGCCAGGGCCAGTGCCATCTCATGCAGCAAACTGCCAGAAACGGCGCTGGATCTCTTCCGCTTCGTGTTGGAGAATGCCACGAACGTCAGCACCCCGAGCTGGGGCACTGCCTAAGCTTTGAGAAGTGCTTCACTAGCGTTCAAGTCTTGAAGTGCAGCCACTTTATACGAGGTTTGGCTGGTGAGCCTTTTTGTCTTTCAAAAACCGCGACTCCTATAGAATCCCCAGAATCTTCCGAACGCCGCAGAAGCACGGAAATGCTCAGCAAGGGAGAAGCCCCGTGGCTGAGTTCAACGACGGCCAAGTGGTCTCCCCGCCCAACTACCTGGAGGAGGCGGTCGGCTTCATGATCAACCTCACCGTACCCTGGCGTGGGATGTTGAGGGATATTCGTGAGTCCAGCTAAAGCAGCTTGGTTGGAACACCGTGACACCATCACAGGAGGTCGGAGTCGGAAGGGGCGGAGCATGTCTTAGTTCTTATGCTGGCACGATGCAGTGTATGGTATAAAGTGAAAGCCAGAGCGAGCAGTCTCCAAGCTGTTGCGAGCTTGCGAAAATACCGAAAATGCTAGAAGCTTAGTTCCTGCCCGAGGTCACCAGCCGATGGGGTCTCTCGAAGAGCGAGCTCGTCGGCTCCTCAGCGCTGAGAGGGATCTCAGCCCGCCGCCCTACTCGACTTCTCTTGGAGAGCTGGAGATAGCTGGAGCTCCTGCCCGCTTGCCAGGTCGAAGTGACGAAGCTCGACTTCCCTGTGCCTGGGCTTGTGTTCGTAGGTGGGAAGGCGTTTCTGGTCAGGCTACAGTCGCGGGAAGGTTCATGTGACACCTGGAAGGAGTTGAGCTGCCTCGTACCGCGCGAGTCGGAAACATACGTGTCCGCCAGAACACCTTGAGGCGCCGATGGTCAGTATCCTCGGGCCGAAGGAACTTCTCGTGAACCGCCCGGTGCCTATCGACGAATGCAAGCCATGCAGAGCTTGAGCTCCGGGCAATGCAACGACAGGTTTTTGAGCTGTTGAGCGAGGCACGGAACAAGTGTCTCTACTGGCGAACGGTGTGCCATCGGAGTGCCGGGGGCCCAGTCGAAGCCTCCGGAGTCTTTGGATGTGCTCTTTCTCGGTCTGAAGGTTGTTAGGAGGCTTCCCTGTTTCTGGAGCCTGTGGTCATGGTAAGCCCATGAAATGCAGACGCAGGACTCATCCAAAGATTTTCAGCCGTTACGCAGCCTCGCCCTGACGCCCGGTGTCGGGTGTTCGGGCTCAGTACGTCAAGTCCCATCTGACAGTTTCGGAGCCTAGCTTGAGGTTTACGTCACGAGGGCACTGGAATGCTCCAAGAGAACAGGTGCCACGGTCTCCCGTCAGCTTGGCTACCGGTGGTCCGAGACCACGGGGCAGCTGGACCGCTGGAGGGGTTGTTGGAGCTGCAGCGTTGTGACATCGGGGGGTCGAGATGATACATCATGGGAGCTTCGGTGAGTCTTTAGCTTGAGTTGCAGTGGAGCACATGGCTCACAAGAGCCGAGTTTCGATCCTCAAGGGAAAGGTCTGAGCTTCGGAGGGTAGGCTGTGCTCTCACAGCCGGCGTTGTGGCATGGAAGGTCGTTGGAGGGCCAGGATTTACCGGAAGCCTAAGTTTACTAAGGGCCTAAGTCCCTCAAAAAAATCTGGAACAGAGGATCTCCCCTTCATGGACGGGATCGCTTCGCCCTCAGCGTGGCTGCATCAGTCCTGCGAGAAAGCACCGAAGCCGATTTTTCCGTTCAGAACCTACTCTCGCATATACCGCTGGACCGATTCCCAGTTTTGAAAGGATAAGGTCCTGTTTCCATGGCCCTTTTTCTTCCTGTCATCATTGCAGCAGAAGCCTAGCTGACCTGTAAATTTTGTCCGGGTGCTGGCTTTGTTGTTTTCGCTTGCAAAACAAGACGGTGAGGAGGCGCGGGTGCCCTCCTTGCTTCGGCGGGCCACCCAACACGCAGGCGTACACCCTCACGGTGGCTCGCATCCGCAAGAGGAGCTGAGCATCCGTCATGAGGGATGTGAAGAACTCCGTTTGCATCGGGAGAGTGATGAGGTCGGGGAGGCATCGGAGGGAGAGGAGGGAAAGTGGGACCAATGCCGCCGTCGCCGATGGAGCCAGCTTATGGGCAGGGCATGCTGGTACCAAATGCGGACGGGTCCAGATGACGACGAGGGTTCATGGATGAATTGCAAAATGGAGGACGGGCTTTGCGACGAGCTCTCAGCGTATGCATCTGGGAGATACGACATCGTCTTTGAGTCCGGCCCACTCGGGGCCTCACCCGGTTGCACCACCACCGCCCGCGACCATGTGGACTGCTCGGGCTCGGCATTGTTGATCGTCGATGCAGAGGGACAGGATTCAACGGCGACGCGAAACCGGCAGACTTTCGACACGGCGAGTGACAAGAGTTCCAGCATTTATTGCAAGCGCTGACGGTTGGAAGCAGCAATAGCCGTAGTCGTACGAGTGGCTGCGGCTGCCAAAGTAAAGGGCCTGTGTAGCCCGCTGGCCGGCAGCTGCTAGCTGCTGGGCGATTTCGTGTGCTTTCAAGCTCATGTCCAAGTTCCTTGGACGCGACTTGCATTGAGGTCTACACCACACGCTCCTTGGTCATACCACCCTTCGTGCTGGAGCCCATTGGCAGCGGCAGCGATGTGCTGGCTGCTCAGAGAACCTAAGTCGGGATTAAACGAAGGAGTCGAAGGAGCCAAGACATGTCAATGTCTTCAATCAATTTTCCAATCCTCGCCTCTCTATGATTATGGGCCGCGGGCTCCGCCCTATCTGGGCTGTCTGGAATTGGGACACCAGCTTCATCCAGCTTCACTGGTTACCGTTTCTTGCTTCTGGGCGTTAGTGCTTGGACCTCTGTGTGTTCTTTTCTTCTGCTCAAGAGCCACTGCCACGCTAAATACAAGGTTTCGGAAACTTGAGATTCCTGAGGCGCAGTAGGGCCTCAGTAGGGGATGGGGAATTAAGGTTGTCAGAGTTGTCGCGTCTATGCACGTTGTGCCTTTGATCACATTCTGATGCTCTCATGCTGTCTACCGGGTTTACTGCACGTAGCTTCGATCACATCAGTCGCAGCTTCCAGAGCCCGCAACACGAGCCCAAGAACCTCCGCAAGCAGTTCCTCTTAAGGAACATGTACAACTTCACTGTCGAGACCTTCGCAGTCGACAACCCGAGCAAAGCGGCCTACGCATCGGTGACCGTCAGGGTCCGGTGCCTTTCAGAGGGCGTCGTGTTCTTTGTTGGGGGCGCTCGGCTTTTTCGCCAGGGTCTTTGGTGCAGGTCCGCCGCTCCCCGGTCTTCGCAGCCTTGGCGACGGAGGCCGCAAAGAAAGCCTTGAAGAAGCTGCTTTCAGGGCCTGTGGAGTCTAGTCCTGCCGCGAGGATCGGCTCATGACGCGCGGAGACATCTTGGTGCTCGATGCGCGGCAGTCGCAGGAGCAAAGGGGCGGGGCCAGGGACTTCAAAAAGAGAGAGTGTGCTTTCTCCCACTGCTTAGCCGCTTAGCCAAGTTTCCAAACCATGTTGGCGGTCGGTGCAGCATCAAGAATCAAGAAGGGCTCTGCATGGCAGTCGAACCTGAACCTCGCCCAGAGCAGACGAAACCAAGACTTGCGGAATGTGTTTGCTGGTTGCATGACATCCAACACAGGGTGAAGCGAAGCGGCGAGGACCCGGACTACCCCACGAACCCGGGCATGACCTTCGTGGGCACCTTTACCTGGTGGTGCCTCACCCCGTCCTGGGCCCAGCGTTCGTTGAGGCTTTCCGGATTGTGGAAGCTCCCTGGGTCCACCGGAAATCACCGAAGCTCAGGGGCCGGCTGCCCTGCTTCGGGTCCAACGGCACGGGATTGATCCCCCCGTTGGAGACCTGCATCACGGACTTCGACTCCAGGACCTGGGACACGGCCGTGCTCTGTTTGCCACCAGGTTCCAACACCTCAGCGCCTAGGCCTGTGGAATCGCCACAGCAGAATTTAGTCGTGAGGCAGCCTTGCAGTTCATGCCCAATGCCCACCTCGCCTGAAATCGAATGAAATGCGCTTGCGAAGGATAGTGCAGGGCGGCATGACCTTCTCACTGCCACTCTTCGACGAGGGTCTCTACTGCAGATGGGTCGAATTCTCAGGGAGGGCCCTCGACAGGCGTACCTAACCAGGGGATCGAACACATGGACAACACACTACGCGCAGTGCCAATGCCCAGCTTGAAGCAAAAGCTCCAGACCTAGTCTCAGGCCTCCCCGTTGTCTTCTGTCGTACACCCCACTTCGCAAAGCAAGAAAATGCAGAAGGCCGATGGCATCCCCTCACAGACCCCCTTACCAACGAACAAGGAAGACACACCAAAGGACTCAAGCTACACCTTGGCAAGGCACGTGGCGTTCTTATGGTCTCTACAGTGAACTTCACAGAGGGAGAGTACCTCTTCGAGGCAGCCGCTGTGTTGGAAGAGGTGTCTGGCAGCCCTGTTCGCCCTGATCCGGACAAACGAACCGCGGAACTGTAAAGGTGGAGTTGTCGGATTAGTCCATCAGCTTCTGCGTCACATGATTGTGGAAGCTTCGCATTTCAGTTCTTGGCCCTGGTGTCGAATCTCGAATGCTCTTCTGAACGAGAGCATTTCAGAAGAGCGGTTTCTTGCTAAGTGTTGAAGCCATGCGAGCGTCGTGAATCGTGCAATTGTCAGCTTCAGAGTTTAGACAACCGTCAAGTCTGATAGTCTGAGTCTGCACGACTCTGAGTTTTCCTGGGCAGTTCCAGTTGCCGCCGGCTGATTCTGCAGGTGCAGGCTCAGGCCAACGATGGCCGTCGCTCGAGCAAGGTCGGGGGTCCGAGCTTGAAGCCGTTTCAAATATCAGAACATTAACAAGCAGACATCAGCGACCGTTCGGCGATGGCGCGACAGGCTGTTCGGATCACGATCACCGAGTTGCAGGGGCCCTGATGTTGCTGCTCTTGCTGCTGTTGCTGATAGGCTTGTGCTACTGTTGCTGCTCCTGTTGCAGCTGCCGATAGTCCTCCCGGCTACCAGTGTGACTTGCTCTAGCTGCTGCAGCTGCTGCTGCTGCAGAAACTACTGCTGCTACTGCGCCTTCCACTCCTCCTCCTGCTCCTCCTCCTCCTAGTCCCGCTTCTGCTCGTACGACGACAACGGCTATCGCTGCAGCTGCCGCTGGCCGCTGTTCCTACTCCTGCTCCTTCTCCTGCTCCTGCCGCTGCCGCTGCCGCTGCCACTGCCGCTGCCACTGCCACTGCCACTGCCACCACCACTACTACTGCTGCTGCT